ATATATATATATGTATATGTATATTAGTTTATGTATTTGCATGTTTTGGTTAGTGGTTTATAGCACATACTTCGCCCCCGGACATCCATCATACCAACAGTACAATAGCTTGGAGAAGGACCAATGTGAGATATGTTTGGGTCCTGAAGCTGCTCATGAGAAGGGAAGAAGAAGAGCTTGCCATTCGGCACGGCCTTGGGATTGCAAAGCCGGCAGTTCTCAGCGACGTAAGATGCTCAACTGTCGATGAGCATCCCCTCGACACATCAAAATGGTGCTGTGTACGCAGCTAGACATGCAGGAGCATAGAATCATTCTTCGAAGCCGACTACATGCCGTGACATGCCCTTGCCGGAAGCTGAAAAGACTCAAGACAGGCAAAGCCACTGGGAGAAGTATCCGAACGACGGTCCCAATCCCATCCAGGTACTTGTCCTGCACGCTGCGGTTGGCCGAATAACACTGCTTAGAAGGCATATCATATAATGTAACATAATTGCTTTGCAGGCGTTCTGGCCTCGAGCTCTGGAATGGGCTGTGCAACTGATTTTGAAGCAATCGCCAACTGACTTGACACCAAAGATTCTCGACTCATTCTGCATTCTTAGGCCCACTCCAACCACGAAGGATCTTGACAATAAACCAGAACGAGTCCAGCTGCTGGGCACGGAAGCTGCGTGTTGATGACAGCCTTCAGGGCTTTTTCCGTTTCTCCACTCTCGCATGGCGGGGACGATAGCCGCAAAGCGATGTTTTTTTTTTGTTTATGGCCTCCCACCTCGCTAGGACGAGGCCGCATTGCTTTGAGGTTGAGCGCTTAAGGGATTTATAACCTTCAGGGTTCAGGGCCTATAGGGTTTATGAGGGCCTTCAAAGCCCTATAAGCCCTGAGCATGTCGAGGCAGCTCTCGGCCCGAAATGATCCGACCACGGGGAAGAGCAAAGCAGTTTCTGAGGCCTTCCGGATCGACCATCTTCATGATGGGCCCCGTCTGCTGAGATTACTGTTGCCTTGTTCCTCCTTAGATTCGGACCCAGCCATGTCTGAGCCTTAAATGTCATGTAGAATTGGCCGCAAAAACTTCGATCTTGCGTCGCGAGTCTAATTCCTGATTTTCTGTGGCCAGGTCTGAATCCACCGACGACGCATCAACCCGGCCTTTGTCCATCCACAGAGCCCAAGGCCAATACGCGAAGGCGGCTGCCAATGCCCTCCGACCTCTGTAGGTTTCATGGAACCACCACCACCACCACCAGCACCGAGAACAGCGTATTACCCAGAGAGCCCAATACCCCTGAATTAAGGAATATACCTTAAATCACAATATGAAGGCCCCTTCTAGTTTAAGGTATCTTGATAAAACTGCCAGACTGGCTACCTGGATTGCTACGGGTCTGGCTCATGACGTCCTTAGAACCGCAGATGCTTAGGCTTGCAAGGCTCTAGCAACACGAGTGCTAGATGAAGGCACACCAGAACTGGCTTTTCTGTACATACTTGAACTGAAGAACTACCTGGCCGCTGCATGCAAATTCCGCGTCACAGTTCAAGGTCGACGGGTGCTCCCAGGTTGCGACTCTTGAAAACACGGTTTAACACACATAGCATTAGCGTGCTTTTTGGTCCACTATGCCTAGAAGTCTATATGGCAACTCATTTATTGTATGTGTGTGTATATATATACACATGTGAGAGTGCTTTACTAGCGAGTATTTACGAACTAATTTCTTCAGACACCAATATTACCTGTGCCGAGGGTCTGTCCGACCTCCACGGTGACTGGAGATCTGGCAAAGAACTCATATTGAGATCCTGAGAACCGATGTGCCAGGGCTTACCCGTAACCCAAAAACCTTTTTAGGGTTCCTTAATCCTTAATATGGCTTCTTTATAAAGCTCCTTGAAACGGTAGGGGCTCTGGAGAGGCCCGGTTGCATGAGACCTGAAACCCTCATAAAGTCCGCAACCACACGTGGGGCTTAGGGCCTAGGGCTTTGTATTTCTCGGACGTTTTGGGGATGTTGCAGTTCAGTTCCACAAGGGTCTGGGCCTTCCGGCGATTCTATGCCCGGCAGGGTCATGTGTCTACAAGAATCCCCTCTCGACTTGTAAGCCATGTCATGCGGCGTTTCTAGTTAAAGTGCATCTATGTTCCTGCTATTTCAGGCCAGCCAGCGCACGCGAACAGCCCCAAATGCGTATAACCGAAGAGAAGCCTTCAATCCATGGCAACGAGCTGGTCTTCGTTTTCAAACTTGAGCTTCAGATCAACTCTACAGAGCAAACACATGCACGAGATCGAAAAGTGCCTGGATTTCTGCTGAGACAACTGACGCCACGAACTCCTGCCTCCTGCATGGTCCTATCTATCTATCTATCTATCTATCTATCTACGACACCTATAAACATGCATGTATATATCAAAAGCGGACGGCCGAAAAACTACTGTATACTCCCAAACACTACATTCCAAATTGACTAATCTGTCCTTCTGCTCAAACCCTGCCACCTTCACCCCGAATCATCTTCGCTAGATCATAAATCCGAATCCTAGTCTTACATCTTCTCTCCTTTTTGTTGAGCAGGAGACTCATCTTCTTTCCTAAACCCTGATTTCCCCAAGCCTTGCCCGACACCCAGCTCCCGCTGGAGAAGCTTGAACGGAGCCTCATGGTTTCGGCTCAAGTTCTTGGGGCCTTTAGCCGGGGCCTACCATGGGTACCACAACATGCGGATGGGTTGGGTGGGGGGGGGGGGGTACAGTGAGCACAGCGATAACGCGGCTTAACAGTTTTCATTTAGCTCCTGTAAGTGGAGTGTGGTGCGCAGAATGGGCGCAGAGTTAACAAGGATATTGAAAAGTTTGTTGCCTTGTGATCATGCCGTCTATTTGAGCCTAGTTTGGCATTGGGGCATGGAACTGAATGAATCCCTAGAACAAATTGTAGGTAAACTTTGCTGCAATGACAACACAAAGATCTTTGATGAGCCCTTCAGTACCGACCTGGGATTGGAGCTATATGCTTGCCCGATCAACTCCATTTCCTGCGCAATGGACATACTGCAGGCCACGACAAACTGCCAAGGGACGAGCCGGACAAGCTCGAGGCAGCTTGCTAGGGATCATACGCTCAACGGGAAGATACACCACTCGTGACATTGATGCGAGCTTGACGCGATGATGCAACATTCTTGTCTCGAGAGCAACGCCCCAGCCAAAGCTCATCGAGCGGCCAATGTTCCACTGGCCAAGATGACGGAATGGCATGCATGAGCCTCAAACGGATCAAGTTAGAGGATGGTCTGTTTCGGGTGAGGCCGAGAGATTTCCAATCAAAGGCAAAAAACAACGCCAACCGATTCAACAACATTGGCTCGCGAGAGAGTGTCTCCATGACGGCAGCATATGGCATACAACTTGCATGGCTATAGCATACTATAGCAAACTTTACCATACTATAATATAGATTAGTAATATATATGCGTGGGGATGAACTTTGGTCAGGCATCTGCTGCTTGAAAGGCCACGGCCCCACTGAGGCTGACCATCGCCAAAGAGGGACTGCCCGTAGTCGCCTTGCTAAAGAGTAGGGTTCAGATGCCTTTTGCTTGCTGTGTTGTTCACCGCTGAAGTGGGCTGTGACTCAACACGGCACTGCTACTACCCTAACCCCTAAAGCCAAATGCCCAGCCTTCTTGAGGATGAGGGCATAGCCACCTGCCAGAGCACTGCAGCCGATCCAGGCAACAGCTTGCCAACCCTGGGTTCACCATGGAGCATGTGCTCATACCAATTCCCCAACCATCGAAAGTCTGCATGTACATTTACGCATACATACAAGTTTAGTGATTGATTTAATTGTGCATATTTACTCATCTGTTTTAACAAGACTACTAGACATTATAACTAAATTATAACGTAACCTACCATGACCACTCATGATTCTCTGTGGGATTGGTGGCATCCTTGCCTCGGCCCCCCTCCTCCAGAACCAGGACCATCTTGCGCAGAAACAGATCCTCGGAAACAGGCGTTTGCGCATCGAAAAAACACACGAGCCTTCTCCGTTCTCTGGATGTCCCTTGTCTGAGAATAAAGAACCAAACACACACAGGTATACGTCTAGATCGATGTGTATATAGACAGGTTCACATACGAACAATGCTGGATATAGAAATTAATACGATATAGAGATTAATACTATACTTACAGAGACAGGTATAGAGATAGAGAGACATGGGGATTTTTACATACGTAGATAGGTAGGTAAGTAGATAGATAGATAGATAGATAGATAGACAGACAGATAGATAGATAGATGGATAGATAGATAGACAGATAGATAGATGGATAGATAGATGGATAGCTAAGCTAGCTAGCTAGTCAGTTAGGTAGTTAGTGAGGCAGTCAGTCAAACAAACAACGTGATAAAGATGGGGATGGATATAGAAACGACCCGGGAGATCGTAGTGCACTGGCGCTGTCTTAATGCCATACGAAGGCCAAGCACATAAGACAAACAGCAGCCGTCGACCTTCTAACAGCCAACCTTACCCTACTGTATCGGCTGACATACTGCGGCAAGGCACCATCTCGTTCACTGCCTCAGCACTTCTCCCAAGATGAAGAGAACTATGCAACGCAACGGCTCACATGAATGTGTTGCAAGCGATGCCCTAGCATGTCCAACCGCTGCCAAGGCCAGTCGCTCCAAACTCTGACAGCTCTCAGTTGAGTCTCTCTTATACATTATATATTATATATTATAGATCATATATTATATATTGTATAGTCTATATTATATATTGTATTTTATATACTATATATTATATATCATCTCAAGAGGCACCAAGCATTAACAGGCGAAGTGCAGAGGAGCGCACGGCCCAACCTGGCAAGTCTTTACTACACTTCCTCTGCCTTTGCAACCCTTCTTGCTCGCTGTGACCGCGGAACACAGTTGGGGCGGGTGTGACAGGAACATGCCTGCAGAGTGCGGTTGACAGGGGCGGCGCAGAAGCGGATGTTTGCATATATAAATGTATATAATCACGTTGAACAGCCAAACAGTACACTGTCGACGACTGTGGCCAAGTAGTAGGTCATGGGATGTCACAAGACGAGGGTACACTGACGGTACCAATAATGCTGGCAAAAGGGCTTGTGAAGCTCTGAATGGCTGCTATTGGGAAAATGTTGAAGGGACGAACAAGCACTGTCTGCGGGTGCCTTCGAGGCCATGTTCGATGAAGCGTCTTCGGAGGACCCGAAGCAGCCGAACGAGACGATCCACTTCCTTTGCACTCTCGAGTCCTGTGTGGCATCTTTTGTAGGATTTGGGGGGTTTAAGATTCGGTTCGGGTTGGAAGAGGCATCAGGACTCTAAAGACGAGGCTTGGAGAACGCTTGTCAGAGGGGCAGGAGTCGCCTGACATCAATCGTGACCGATACATGGACAACGTTTCCCAAACTGACAGAGGCGTGAAGTCAACACCTGCTCAACCCTGCTCATAAAGCACGCAGCCACGTCTGGAACAGCTCTTTCACTTGTTCTTTGGTTGCACACGGCTGGCATCCGGCTCCGCACGGTTCCCAACATATGTCTCATGGGTTAGCAGCAGTTCAATGAACGAGGTTGTCGACAAGCAGGTTCCAAGCCCACCCGGCAGCACCGGTCCTGCAACGTGCGTCACAAGAGCCTCAGGAGGATGGCTGTGCATAAAATGGCATTATGTGTTGTATGCTAAAGGCTAAATAACTCTGTTGATTATAGATCATGTAAGACGCTGTTTAACTGTTATCATACTTTTTAACCTCAAGCATGACGTAACATGTATCATATCTTACCGGGTTTTCATGTACTCTGTTATGCTATATTCTCTTGTATTCAAGTGTGTGTCGTATTGTGCACTGCTGGGTTCTGTCATATGGTATTCTAACATGCTATATCAGACGCTATATTCGAGCATAGTATATATATATATATATATGTGTGTGTGTGTGTGTGCTTTTTCATATCATATCATTGCATCTGCATGAAAGCAAAGATCCTGTGTCTGCCATGGGCGGAACGATCTTCCGGATCCAAAGGTCGGGAGTTCCTGTGTGCCTTCTCTGAGGTCGAAGCACTCTGACAGCAGAACCAAGTATGGAGTTCTGAACGGTTTGGGGAAGGTCTAGGGGATGAAGCTCTGCGGGTAAAGTTCGGCCTGGGGGGTGTCCAAACCTACGCCAAAACCACCCAGCAGTTGCGAAAAAAGAGGCCATCCTCAAGATTGTCACTACTTTGCTGGTGTATTGCCGAGTAACGAGGCAGCCCTTGCCACCTGGCATGTGTCATGACTTGTGGGTAACTTGCCGGGAAGGAAAGGCGTAAACATAGCGCCCCAAATGAGGGTTCAAGTTGTCCAGATCACGTCACGAAGCGAGAATTTGACGTTCACGGTGCTACAAACTGTGGCAGATAAGCACTGGCAAGGAAAAGGACTTGTTGGCCTGTGTCACGCAATTCTCCTGACTTCAGCTCGGCCAGGCACACGACGGCCTGTGCAGCATCTTTGGGGGTTTTACTTAGACTTTCTTTGTAGTTTAAGGCTTTTGACACACACCCTTGGCTTTTGCGTCTTTGTTTTTGCTACCTTCGGAGCTTATAAGCGTTTGGATATGATTCTGCCGAAGTGCTGGGGCGTGTAGATCGGAGTTGACTGGTCTCTCGCATGCTTTACTTCCTGGCACCCAGGGGTTTGCCGAGTGGGCGATGCTACAAGAATTACATGGTAGCCAGACTATTATGAAGGCTGAGGGCATCACACTGGAAACAACAGCATTGATCCTGGCAGCACAAGCAGAACGAAGACAATGACATAGCTACGGGGCAGCAACGACAGTATGAACAGGGTGGTGGCCAGAACAGCAATCGCACAATCACTACAGTTAACGGCGACGGCACGAACACGTTCGGATAATAAAAGCTGGCGATGGCAACAATCCGCCACATCGAGCATTTGGGCATGTGCAATTTTGGCCCATGAAGCGCCAAAGTCAAAGGCTTCTGACCAACAAACCTCCACGGCCTGCTTCGCTGGGGTGTCGGAGGCAACTTTCAGCCATTCCTGAGCTAGATAGTCAAGCTTGGAAACTTCCAAGTCGAAGCCGTGTTCGGCCTCATAGACCGGTCGAACTGAAGAAAGTAACATGGAAGACACACATTTTGGTTTCGGTGTGGTTCTGCCGACGGTCTAGTCACAGTCGTCGTCAGAAATTATTGTAATAAGGGTCCAACCAACAGGGACTTCAAAGAACAGACTTCTCGTACTGGGCACTACGAGTATGCTGCATACGGAACTCAACTAGTAAACAAAAGCACATCTTCATGACAAGCAGGGCTGCCCTGACTTGGGGCAGCTTCAGTCACAACAACAAGAGCCAGGGGAGAACCTGCACATGACTTTGTGAATGCAATGTCCATGCGGGGGGGTGGGTGCCTCCAGAAGTTCACGTAAAAGGTGCTGGAGTTAGATTTTACGAGTTTCTGTGTGTCTCACTGGTTTGGTGGCTGCAGCAAACGCCGCACCAAACAAATCCTCGACGAGTGCCAGAGCCAAATTCGTGAGGCATCGAAATAGCGGGCAATAATACACAAAACTCGAGATTCCTTCGGTATGCATGACTAGGATTGCAACAGGCGGAGTAATTGCTACGTACGATACTGCACCTGGCGAGACAGAGACATTTTGTTTCACCGATGGCACTCTTTTCTGAGGGTCCAGCATTCATAACATGAGCAATGCCAAACTAAAGTTGCCATCTTGCATTGCGGAGTCCGATGGTTTAGAGTCCGCTGTTCGAGGTTGGACCCTCAGACATTGAAAACGGAATCAATCTTCTGGGACCGCGGGCTGGATTGAGGTCCACCCTCGCCAGACCCCAGAAGCACATGCGTCGGACTACACTGGTGTAGCTGAAGACCTTTCCTTGCTTCCGGTAAAGACCTGCTCCCCAGACCGCGAAGGTCCTGAACTACACCAGTCGGGACGCGCAGATTATCCCCGTGGCCCTCAGGGCCTCAATGATTGGAATCCATGTTGCAGGCCTCACGAACGACTATAGGAGCTTCGCTGCGGCCTGTTATAATGTTGCGCACAGGCACTGCGAGGTATTCGTCACTGCTATGCTCGGGAAACTGCCTTGTGGGGTAAAGGTAATTTCCCTGCACGATACTTGTGCTATGGCGAGTGCTGGCGTGACCCCGAAAGATCGCAAGGTGTATTACGAACCAGACGTACATTTCTGACACTGACCTTGCGCAGTACTGCTCCGGAACATGGATGCTTGGAAACGTGCACATGGCCCACGGGTGTTCCATGGATCATCAATTCATCTGAGAAGCTATGCTCTTGCGCGCGAGCAAGATTCTGCAGGTTTGCAACCGTTCCGAGCTTTGACTCTTCGTTGCGGGATCAAAAAAGTTATCAGCTTGGCGCTTCTCTTAGCATTACGCGTGGGAGCAGAAGGGCCTTCCGAACTAGGTGCTTTATTTGACTTGCCCTGCGACTCTTCCACGCTCCGGCGACGAAAGCAACTCTTTTACGCGTGTGTTTGCGTGTGTGTGTGTGTGTGTGTCTGTCTCTGTGTGTGTGTGTGTCTGTCTGTCTGTCTGTCTGTCTGTCTGTCTGTCTGTCTGTCTGTCTGTCTGTCTGTCTGTCTGTCTGTCTGTCTGTCTCTGAATGTGTGCGTGCGTATCTTACTAAGACGATCATATCGGCATTTACACCGAGGGCCGACGGTCGACCCGGTCGACTGTGTCTACAGGTTTCAGGTCTGTTGTTGCGTTTCTCTTTTCCTTCAGCCTACTATTACACTTTATCATAACTTTTCAGCTAATACTTGATTATACGATACTAAACTATACTATGCTGTACCATATATTATCTTGCGCACATCTTGCTCCTGCTCCAAAGCCGACCCCTGAGACGCAAGAATCTCCAGCAAGCCCAAGCAGTCACGATCTGAAGTCTCATCCTTCACAGCAGGACTCAGGCAGATTTAAACTCCAACCGTCATGTGACCTGTCATCCACTAGCAGGATCCGGCCCAGCATGTTCAGAAATGTCCTCACGATCACTACCAGCCATGGGCTGCAGTGCTGCTTGTTGCTTGAGATTCCCGCGCTGACGCCACTAACTGTGCGGGTCCAGAGGCCTGGCATCCTACTGCGGATGCAGGGTCGTGGATACCAACTTCGCCTCTGCTTGGCAGTGACTTCGAGTTTGCCACCCACTCTCCGAAGCCCCTGAAGCTCCGGTCCTGGCTTGAAGCCGACTGCTACAGGTCTCTGAATTGCGAAGGGTACAAGGAAAGGAAGAGACAGCCCGCAAAGTTCGGAGGGAGAGGAGTGGGATTCTAGTGGGGCGAGCCATCCGCACGCATTTAAAACGCCCTCTACACTCCCACGCCTGTGCATCGCAAGCTATCGCGACACCACAAAAACAACCGCCACAGGGTCTAGACACCCGAGATGTTCCTGTCCGGTACTCTTCAGGGGTCTGCGCTGCACTTCCGAGGTGTCTCGCTACGGAGTTCCTCATAAATGCAAGGTTTGCAGGCGTGCCGCAATAGATGCTCTAAGTCGCAGTCCTAGCGGGATGAGGGAATACCCAACTGTTATACAGCGACCGTCTTCATGAGAAGATCAGTATGGCTCGTCTTCTAGCCATCGCAAGTACATTATTGCAGCATCTTCACCAGAAACCTCGTTGCCATCATCTTCTTCACCTTAATATTCATCTTCACCTTAATATTCATCTTCAACTTCACGTTCATCATCACCCCCCACCACCATCACCATCGTCAAAAATATCATCACCCTCAGCGTTGCCGTCAGCAAATTTGATATCATCAGAATACTCAACATCACTATCGCCATCACCGTTTTCATCATCATCATCATCATCACCATCATCATCGTCATCATCATCAACATCGTCATAAGCACGAACATGAACATAAACATCATCCGCATCATCATCATCATCATCATCATCAACATAAACATCATCAGCAGCACCCGCATCGCCGTCATCATCATACAACCTCTCTCTTGTGTCTTCATCATCGTCATCGCTATCAGAAAGTGGGATCACCGCAACCATCACCGGTCAACACCTGGGGTCAAGATCTGACTGGTCATCTTTATCATCGGTAGTCAAAAGCACCTCGGTCATCGACAGCTTCATCAGCGCCATGATGACAATGACAGTGGCCGTATTACAGGATGTTGCAGCCTTCCGCCTAACCTTGCCCATTCTAGAAAGGGGCACGAGCATCTGCCAGGAAGCCTCTATACCCAATTTCTGCTACGTTACAAGCATGCCCATGCTCAAAATATCTGGGATTTGTGTAAATTTGCCATCGACCTATCGATCTTCGCATTATGTACCTCTGTATGACAGCTCAACATGAAGTAGGCCTCGCAAAATGCAGGTGCCCGTTGGGAGAATGTTTGGCGGCGAAGCAAAGCCGGTCATGGATGAAGTCCACATGCCTAAAGTTTGGGAACTTCTGAGCCATTGAGTCCCCCAACACTTAAGCCTAAGAAGCGAATTTAGATGGAGGTTTCCAATCTAACTAAATGTCCGCTACCGGTGGCAACAGGGCACTTTCATGTTTAGTCTCCGACGAAGTTTTGAGTCTGTGTCAAAGCATGGCAGGGAGGTTCAGCCACTTCCAAGCAAGGGACCGGCTGTACTTTAGGGTTTAGGGTGGAGTTTATCACGACCATTGCCTTATGCTGTGTGTCTTTGTGATCATTACTGCTCTAAGTTCTCTGTTTCTCATTTTCCTCGAGCTCTTTTGCAAACTTTCCCCCTTTGGTGAACCTGTACTGTTGTGTTGTCCCTGGCCAGTCTTCGAGCGGCAATGTGGAGTATCTAAGCATGCATGCATAAACTGGAAATACCAAATACATGTATGTGTGCACGAAAGTTTTTGCGAGTACATGAACATTAAACAGTCCTGTGAACTTTGCCAGCCAGACTGTGTGTCAATGTATGCTCTGCTGGCCTGCATGGAACTCAGCTTTGCTTCCTACCGCAGATCGTACGGCGATCGCTTCTTTTTTGGAAGGTGGCCATCAAGCTGCTCTGCGCGACCTTCCTGCCAGGACGACGGATTCAGGATTGAGCACGAGAGTGCGAGGAAAGGCACAGCAGCCTGCAGAAAAAAATGAAGCGATTGCGTTGACTCACACGTCATCCCTCAAAGCACCAACATGTATACAGGCGACTCGGCTTCCCTGGACAATCGCCGTCAACCATTCCAAACACGCATCGAAAACAATCCAGGACTGCATACACGGATCTTGAGCAAAAGTTTGATCAAGAAAAGAAGTGCCAACGTGCACCGATTTTGATAGACTCTAGCAGTTCATTGCACCTCACACCACACTGAGTCACATCAGCCGCTGCTCCCCTGCACCCTAAGCGCCATAGCTTCATGATATAAATATACACTCATACATACGTACATACATACATATTCATATATACACACATGTCCCCAATCCCGATAACAGTTCGTTTTGGCCTTGTCCAAGCCCAGGCTCGGAAGCTTGACTGCCTCAGAGACGCAGTGTGGATGCAGAGCTCTTGCTTATTTCGCCGGTTTAGGGTTTAGGTCCTTTGACACTCACACTCGGACAAAGCCTGGCAAAGGTTTCGGCTTAGGGCTTAAATGGGGGTTGTGGGAACACAAAAAAACGTCCATGGTAAAGATTGATTCTCCCCAGGATCTGCAGAAACAGCATCAAGAACAACACACAACAACATTCTCGTGCCCCTCCTTCTAGTAAACTGCAACCACCACTTCTGCTACGAAACTCACAACAACCTGCATCGCAACCGCCACTATCATCAGAAGTACCACTACCATCCAAAGGAACCCTTCACGGGTCCAGGCGCAGCACATGGAGTCTTAACACGCTAGGTCCGGGTCCCCGGGTGCCAATCATTAGTCTCGAAGGCATGTCCCCCCCCAACAAAAACCTGTTGCAGGACACACGGCTGTGAAGCCTGATTCGAAGGAGCTTCGGAACACTAAACCCTACCGACACCGG